AGCATATGCAGTGATATATACCAACTATATTAAATCATCATATAAAATATAGCATTTTATAATCAACAATAAATATCGATTATAAGTTTATTGAAAATTAACAATATTGCCGAAATAAATATCGATTCAAATCGATAATTTTTTCCCAAGCCTATTCCTTATGAATTTTCCGGATCGCGGACACAACAGTGCACAAGCGTAAACACGTTTTTCATTGCCGCCATCACGGACCTGAAAAAACCGGTCCGGAATAGAGAAAAGTAAAATTCCGGACGGTAAAATTCCTGACAGTGCACAAGCGCGCATTACCTACATATGGCCTGACATATCGGACCTGAAAAAATCGGACCGCCGGACATGAAAATTCAGTGTAGTGCACAAGCGCTCTAACTCTCTAATGACACCTTTACATATTTCTAACACTTAAAGTTAATGTGCTAAATATAATTGTGTGAATTTCACATTGTGCATTTAATTTTACAACGAGATGAATTCATTCGTGGAGATCACAAAAAAGAATAGGTGGAGTAAGATATAAAATTCAGTTATGAAGAATTCGGTATACCTAGTTCAAGTAATTATAATTCTAGATAATGTATTGCTAATAATAATGTGTCCACTACAACAGAAAATACATTTCCAAATAATGAAATACCTACTGAAGAAGAGAAGATGTAAACGTTAAAATATGAACTAGTCAAGACGAAATAAGTTTTATAGAACAACACGGTTACGCGCAAAATTTTGATGAGGAAGACTTTGATAAAGATTTTTCGATTTTGGCAGTTTTATTTTGATAGTAGCTCGGACGAAGACGATGATAGTTCTGATTTATTAACAAAAAATATTATTATTAATTCGGTATTTATTATTCAAAAATTTCTTTATTACGCTATATTTCGTACGATAACTATTATCTCGATGTTTAAAGGTAAAGCTGAAAGCGTTATTTTACCCTCCGCAGTAGGTAAATGACTTCGCTAAGTGCGTAATGCCTCTTTTTAACACCTTTGCTCGTGAGCTGATGTAATTCCACCGGTATAAAATATGTAAAGCGGGTCATAAAAAAACGCGTGTGTTACCAAAGCAAATAGTTAAGTTATAGTCCATACAAATTCCATAACAGTATTATTTGCCATTTCGCGCGCTGTTGCTATTCAAATTTCGAACTAATCGCCGCGCGGCGCTAGTCAGTAGGCAGCGCTAGCGCACTGTTTAAATGGCGGAAAGCAACAGTGTATATTCATAAATTGGGTTTATTTAATGTTTTTTTTTTTCTGTTTCCTCGCAAATGTGTTAAAAAACGTCGTACGATATACGTGCGTATTGATTATAACATGCTCGGCTCAATTACGCCCTCGCCTTCGGCTCGGGCTGAAATTCCACCTCGCATGTTATAGCCATCATAACGTACTAATATCGTAATGTACTATTAAGTCACCAAAGACCTTACAGTACTCTTGGATACTGCCGTTGCAGTATTATACTTGAACGAAGACTGTACCTTTAAGAAAAAGTCACCGTTTTTGATCAATTCAAGATAACCTCAAGTGTATAATTAATAAAAAATTACTTTTTTAATTTACGTACCAAAATCTACCCAATTATTGACTTGAATCTGACTTTATTGATTTATACAAAGACTAAAACTGATCAACCTTTAAAAATTACAGTCTAAAAAATATTTTAGGTTTTTAGCACTTTCAATTGTTTTCTTGGTTTTTTACTAAAAATCATATATTATTGAGGCCACGTTTTAAATTAGCTTTAGGTACACTTAACACAATGTTAAAAAAAATATAGTGGAATTCATTATACTAATATTTTGTGATGAAACATAGACTGACAACTAACTAAAGCACTCTTATAACTTTAACACTCGATAAATGTATAATAACTCGATGAATTTAAAGCTAACTAGCTAATACTAAGAGTTATGTAGAACCATTTTAAGGAGGTTATAGAGACTACCTGTATAATTTTGCACCAAAATCCAAGTTATAAAGGTGTTATTACACTCTATAACTCTCTTATAAAATATTCGCTAACTCTTTAATATCAAACCAAAACAGAAATTCTAGTTTTCTAGTTTACTTGACATATAACTGGGCTAAGGCAATTGAAACAAAGGGGGAGGCCCTGGCAGTAAGCTTGGACATAGCGAAAGCCTTCGATCGGGTGTGGTACAAAGCTCTTCTATCAAAACTTCCATCATATGTGCTTCCCGAGAAGTTATGTGCATGGGTCATTAGTTTTTTAGCAGACAGAAGCATTAAGGTTGTAATCGACGGTGAATGCTCGGACCTACTGTCTATGAATGCTGGTGTTCCCCAAGGAAGTGTGCTATCACCTACACTTTTTCTTCTGCATATTATTGACATGCTGCAAATTAGCGGTTTTCATTGTTATGCAGATGACAGCACGAAGGACTCCACCTATAACGGTCGTGCAAATATTTCTCGGGAAATCGTCATTGAGAGCCGGAATCAATTTGTGTCTGATATTGAATCTTCGTTAGAGGAAGTCTCTAACTGGGGTCGATTTAATTTGGTCCACTTCTATCCTACTAAGACACAGGTTTGCGCGTTCACCGCAAAAAAGCCCCATTTGTCGTATCACCTCGCTTTCAAAACATTCCCCTAACTGCCTCAGCCAATATTAAGATTCTCGGTGTCCACATATCGAGCTAGGTCCAAATCCGTGGTCATATACATAGAGGATAAGGCTAAATTAGCATCCAAGAAGTTTGGTGTGCTTAATAGATCGAGGCAGTATTTCACGCCAGCACATCGCCTGCAGCTTTACAAAGCGCAAGTTCGGCCCCATATGGAATACTGTTCTCATCTTTGGGCAGGGGCACCCCAATACCAGCTTCTCCCTCTAGCCCTCATTCAGCGGAGAGCGACTCGAATCGTCGATTGCCGGGACACTTCAAGTCGGCTTGATCCATTGGCCCTGCGTAGAGATGTTGCTTCACTGTGCATCTTCTATCGCATTTACTACGGGGAATGCTCCGAGGAATTGTTCGGACTCATACCTGCTGCTACTTTCCGCCATCGTTCTCATCATCGTTCGCGACAAGACATCCACGCCCATCATTTGGATGGTTGGATGTCCTCAACTGTGCGTTTTTCCACAGTTTCCTGCCTCGCACAGTCAAACTCTGGAACAGTTTGTCACCAGCGGTATTTCCGGACCGATACGACCTTCAATATTTCAAGCGTAGAGTATATTCGTCCCTCAAAGGTCGGCAGCGCGCTTGTAGCTCCTCTAGTGTTGCAGGTGTCCATGGGCGGCGGTAATCACTCACCATCAGATTATCCGTCTGCTCGTCTGCCCCCAATCCCATAAAAAAAAAGAAATACAGGTTTACTAAACTCTTAAATGTGAGTTGGGAATGCTCATGTGTCCAACAGATGCTAATGATGGTGATAAAAGTACTGTAACTTCTTGCTTTTCTATGAATTAAAGTATTAAATAATGTCACAATTCCTTAAATTTTGTACAAGCATCTCTAACAAATCTTTTATATTATTATTACAAATTCATTGATCGAATATCCTAGTTAGCCTTGATTATCTTGTATGAATCTGGAAAACGACCAGTATAATTCAAAGATGTCTTACATTCAAAAATACACTCCAACAAAACAAGTTCCTCATATATGTCAACGGCTATTATTACCGAGTGTCTGGTCACTGATGTCGTAAGTCCCTTCCATAAATACTAACTACGTCATTTATAAACATATATTAATATGTTGAGTATAAAGACGAAAATTGCGCGGAAGGAGGATTATCAGATATGACATTGCTAAGTTATATATAGAGTTTGAGGTGCAGAAATATATTAAAGTTATAATAGAAAGACATTACATACTGCCTAGTATTTGATACACACACAAATATAAAGAACTCTTACTAAACAAGTCTACATTAAACTTCAAACTTACTAAATCATAAATATATATTCTTAATACAGTCCGAAACTTACCGTTATCGACGCCTTCAGTACATTCGGTCAGGCTATAGAAATACTTTCTAAATCAAGACCAGAGATAGTCAGAGCACTAATTAAATACTTTTATTTCTACGGAAACCCTCGTAAAATAAATTACGGTCCAGGTCGGAATTCAATAACGCATAAATAAAGGAATTACAGATCGGCTGTACAAAATAACCTTACATGTAGAAACACAAATCTGCCTAAACTCAATGGGTCTTGTAGAACGATTTCATTGTACATATAGTAGAATCCCGATTATCCAAATCCCGATTATCCGAACATTCGATTATCCGAACTCTCGTGCCTGCTCTAGCTACTGCTCGAAACATTTTATATCGCGAAACTAGACACGTGACGACAAGTTTAAACTTTCCGTATTATTACTGTACTCTTTGGTTTAAACGCGCCTCCGAATGTTTACTCCCACTCTCATTTGTTTGCATGATTGTGTTTGTTATTGTTTCATTTCCTCTAATAAACTGATAGGTTGTCTTTTAATTTTGCTAACATCTTGCGTTGGAAATATATATCTAAGCGTAAAAGAGTAGTGTTGTCTTTTGGAGACAAAATGAAGATAATCGAGAGTATACAAAATGGTGAATCTGGCAGTCAGTTAGCGCAAATATATGGTGTAGGAGTATCTACGATCACAAACATTATAAAACAATCTGCTTTTTGAATGAAATTTACCAGTGCGCTTGAGAAAAAAGATGGCAGCTCGCAATGTAAAGTCATGAAAAAACCTAAGAATGAGATTCTGGAGAACGCAGTTTTCACTTGGTTTTTGCAAAAGCGTGCATGCGGCCAGCCCGTATCTGGACCTCTGTTATGTAAAAAATCATTGGTAGACCGGGCGCTAGAGGTAGGTGAGTATGCATAATATGAGTACCGAATTTCGCCAACGGATTTAAGTGAAGAAAAGGTCAAAGAATAATAATGTGGATCTTGCCGGACAATTTTTTGGTCCATTTCGTTTTACCCCCTCTTCTCTTATTCGTAAAGGGAATGTATTGAGTACATGATATAAAATCATTTTAATGATTATTTCCGTAATAATTTATAGTTTTTGTAATAGTAAAAGTGAGGACAGATTCTTAAAAATTAAAAAAAAAACAGAAATGGAAGTTATTAATTTTTTTTATTAATAAAAATATAAAAATAATATATGAAATACCAGCGAATTCAAGCATAAATGTATGCAAAATAGGTTAAAAATTACTCATTTTGATTTTCACATTTGTTATTGATGCATTTACATAATGAAATACAAAACAATTCAGATTTTTTGCATAAACAAGACATTGTGCGACAATTTGCAGTACATTTACAGGGTGGAATTAATGACTCTGGTAAAGACGGCTTCGTCATTTGTCGTGGACATAAGTCACCGTTGAGGTTTTCGTAACCCAATGAACAATAATCAATGGGTGGTAATTGTGTTTGATGAGCATTTTTCCATATAAATGTTTGTACTGTAGCCCTTAATAAATGCAAACGCAAAGCATCTGAAGTGCATATCACTCTCATCAAATTGAAATTAAAACCTATATTTTGAGATATCAGTACAAATCTGAGTTCATCAGCAGATACTTTTTTCTTTGAAACTAAATATGTGCAAACTGCTTCTAACTGTTTGAATTGCTCATTATTTAAGTCAAGGTTTCCCAAATGCATGAGAGCTGTTTGTACAAAATCTTCAGACGCAGCTTTCAACCATTGCATTTTACTACCAAATCTACTAGTAGTATCGCAACCACTTATAGCATGTAATGCTGGCAAAATATTGCATATGTTTTCACCCAGGGATTCAGCAGCCAAATGGCATCCTAGAAAACGTTTGTTTGTGTGAGAACCATCAAACCATAAACCGAGACACCCAATATTTGCTAAGTATTTCCAGAAATAAACTGCCAAGACGAATACATCTGTATCAGTGCTCATTATGATAATCTGAGCAGATTGAATCCTTACTGCGTGAAATATGTGGACGAACATTCTTGAATCAGCTTCTAAATGGTTTGACTGTAATTCAAGTACTTCACAAATTAAATATCCTTGCAACTTGAAACATTTAGTTGGATCATCGAATCCTCCACAAATATACATCTCGCAGTCTTTATTTACTTGTGCATATTTTGGAGCATTAGCGCAAAGAAATCGGACGAGTTGCATTTTATTATGAGCGTTAGTAAGAAAAGCTTTACAATCAGCAGGAATATTTGTTGAATGGTTGGAAATTATGGTATTTTTAATGATCTGCTCTTTACTCCGTAATTTTGTCTCCATAAATTTTATAGAAATATCGTCGTATCTATCAAATATTACATCTATTCTTTTAACGCCAGGCAAAGTAAAAAATTCTAAAATTTTTTTAAAGAAAGCTTCAGCAAAATCACCGAAAGTATTGAACTTATTTAACTGAATTTTGTGAACAAGTGCCATACCATCAATAATATAAACTTTGAAAGTATTTAAATTTATAAAATCTTGCTGAGAGCTTGTACCACAATTATATATTTTTTTAATTTCAACGAGGAGTTGTGATTTTGGTGACTTCCTGTAAAATCCGTCACTGTCAAATAGATACTTACAGTAATTCAATACTTCATACGATGCTAACATCCTCGTATTAAATCCACGTTGAGAAGCCGTCATGAATGATTTTTGGAAAATTGTTATGTCTGTTACATCTTGCAATTTTTTGTTGGAACCAATTTTGTTTGACTTCGAAGGAGTGTCTTTAAAGTTGTTAAATTTAGTTTTTTTTATAGGGTCCGATAATTTTTTAGTTTTCTGGAAAAATCTTTCATTTTCGTATGTAGTTAATAGAGCCTCACCATTTTCTTTAACATTAAGTAAGCATCGCGACGTTGATTCTACTGCAAGTTCACCAGTGACAATATTTCGAAGCACACATTCCCCATTAGTAGTGAATGGACTACAACCTTTGAAACACTTAATGATACTTTCAACATCGTTTTCGTCCGTATTAATTCTCGATTGCGTCCATTCATTATGACTATTAATGTCACCTGTAGTGTCAGATTGTATTCCAAGGTATGAAATAAGCATTGAGTGAACGCTGTTTTTGAAAGGATACAGAAGCAACCATCTTTGCATTGCTTCTTCATTTTTTGTGATACCAATTAAGACTCCAGTCACTGCAGAAGATCGGTTCTGAGACTGTTCTAGTGCTAAATCGCAGCCAACTGCATTGAATGTTCCTGCAGTTCGTTTGACGGCATGCATTCCTCTCTTCAGATCATGTACGACGTCTGCAGGTAATTTTAACATATCTTGTAGGTAAAGTGTTACCCCACGAATATAATTTGTGTGATTCATAGCAAAAAAATAAGGTAAAAATTGTCGAGTAGACACTAAATGTAATTCATAGTTATTACTTCTGTCAGCTATAATTGAATTCAAAAGAATTTCTACCATTTCACAGTAATTTTTAAAATATTTGAATAGTTCGTTTTCAGCGCTCATATGATTTAAAAATTAAGAGAAATGGGAAATAAATGTTTCAATTGTGGTTTTATGCTGGTTATATTTATCGCTTAAGCCGTTACGATCCTTATCTACAGTTAGTTCTCTTAAATCTTGAAGACAAATATTCAACTGCTGCAATTGATCGATGAAAGCCCCATCATCAGATAAATTCATATAATCAATGAATTCTGTCAGCTGTATGCTTCTCAATGCTTCATACATAAGTTTATGTGCTCTAATGCCTCTGTTATACTGAGCACCCTTAAGAATTGATGCTAAAGTATTTTCACCATAAACATTGGCTTCTACAAGAATGTTGTCCAGTCCACTTCCTTCTATATATTGGCCCAAACATCGTAAGAAATTTTTTTGTAGATGAAATGTTCCAATTCTCAATATTAATCCCTGGAATTCTTGACTACTTTGTTGGATATTTTTTGCTATCAGATAAATTGACATGTCGCATGAAAGAACAGCTATATATTTATTTAACGATGAAGACAATTTAACAATTTTTTTCATGGCAGTATACACAACATCTTTTGAAGTCGGTGGCTGAGGAATCACCGGGCTAAATCCAATTGTCGATATAGGAGATTTCTCACATGATAGTAATTGTTGGAATGGAGTCCATCCTGGTATCCAGTTCTTCAATGGTCGATAAAAGTTTTTCGACGATTGATCATATTGTAATCTACATAAAACCCAGAGCAAAGTATCAAATTGTGAGTAATTGTTAGTGGAAGTTAGTAGACAGCCGCTGTTAACATAATCAAATAATAAAGACTCCATACATGCTTTGAAGTGATGAATTTCTTGAAAATTTAAGGCCTGCAAATTATACTCAAACTGTTCGGTTGTAGGTTTCAATTTAAGGAGATTTATCTCATTCTCGATTGGATTTTTTTCTTGATAAATTACGGTTGCTGTTACATGGGTAGAGTCTTTACCGCTTAATGTTTCTTCATTGAAGTCGTTGTTGTCAATGGCACCATGAAGAAATAACGATGAATTTTTCACTATATTCTTAGGAATAAGCAAATTTTTTTCTGCATCTTCACACACAATTGAAATTGTTACTTCTAAATCAAGCTCTTGTAATTTTTTATAGCTAATGCAATGCCCAAACTTATTTAATATACTTATCAGCTGTTTTGATCTAGTTAAGTGATGAATTGATTCAGCTAAAGCTATATGTTTTGGTGTCTGCTTCTCAGTAACTATAAAAAATATGTCATAAAATACAGATAATGCTCTTTTATAATAGTTCGCGCTCAACTTTTGGTTTTTTGCATTAAACAAAGCTTGCAGAAAAATTTCCCATGTTTGTGACAATTTTCCATTTTCTAATAATTTTTGAACCAAATTTTCATCGCGTAAATATCCACTAGGTATTAATTCTGCTTTTAATAATTCTTGACGCAATACTTTTGCAGTCTCAATGATATTGTTTTTTGAATTGATGTTCCGAACATGTTCTATTATTTCCGTCAATGGTATATTTCCCATAAACGCTAATGATGATTTTGATCGATCTGCCGGGTAAGAAAATAATATGTTTTCACCAAATCTATCAATAAGTAGGGACTTCACTACACGATTTTCGATCACTGCACCCTCAATGTTTGTAAGTACAGCGAGTCGTTGAGCTAAGAAGCGCACTTCAAAAGAATGTGTTGGTAACTGGTCTTTCATTTCATCTATTAGTTTGTCAAATGCATCGATAAGTATTTCTTTAGGGATCTGATTGGAAGGTCGACCGGCTGGCATCTGAGAACTTCTCGGTAATCTTAAATAATCAAGGTAACAATGTTTGTGATACCTCACTTCGATAGCAAATAAATCTTCAGGCCGTTGACAAATACTAAGTTCAGTGAAAACATGGTCTTCTTTTCTACGTGCAGTACTAAAAATTTTTTCCGCTGCCGAAATTTCGGAACATAAATGTAGCTGCTTGTCTTTGTTTTTCGTTACCTTCTTACAAAATATACATTTCAACGTTTTCTTCAACGCTGCCGGTGTCCTTGATGACGGTCGAGATTTTGGAGTAACCTCCTCCACGTTTCCTTTGGAAGTTGAAGCAGACACTTCTTCTTCTTTATGCAACGCAATTTCTCGACGCCTTATTTTTTCCTCACTAATATAAGTGGCTAAACAGTCTTGGTGCCATGAAAATTCTTGTTTTACGGAGTCTGGATCATATAGTTTTGAAAACTTTTCACTAATGCTGTCTTTTCTCCTATTTGCTGCTTCTTTAATATTAAGCAGCGTTCTTGACCTTGGGTTTTTCACTAAATCACGTGAACTATCACAAAATAAGCAAAATTGTTCGTTAGGTTTTTTTCTTTTCAAATTAACCACTTCTAACGACATTTCTAACGTTTTTTAATACAGTACACTTTAAACAGACACTAAGAATTTACGAAAATACTATTATTTTATATGTATATACAAAAACACGACATAACAAAACAACGTCTTTACGTCAATAGATGCAGAACACTAAACGCGTACGCGCGCTATGTTTACAGTATGGGCGAAGAGGGAAGGTGAAGGGGGGCGGAAAGGGACCATCATTCCCGGCGGCAAGATGTGTTTTGTTATTATTTAGGGTATCAGGTATAACAATCCGGTCATAGTTGCCGTCACTCGGATTTTGCACACTCAACTACCTCTAGCGCCTGGACTATGGATTCTTATAGAATGCTTGGTGGCGATACTTCTTTTAAAGCGAGCTGTGGGTGGTTAGCAAGGTTTAAATCGAGACATGGAATTCGAGAACTAGAGGTTCAAGGAGCAAAAACTGTCTGCTAACGTCGCTTCTTGCGTAGATGAGTTAAAATCATTTTTAGATGAAAAAGTATACGATTTGGATTTTGTATACAATGTGGACGAAACAGGTCTTAATTGGAAAGCTCTACTAAGCAATTCATTAGCCTCGCGTCGTGAGAATGCAGCACCGGGACACAAAGTAAGTAAGGATAGAGTTACAAGTTATGGTTTGCACGAATGCTAAAGGAACATATCGACTACCACTACTTCTCATTGGCAAAACAAAAAATCCGCGCTGCTTCAAAAATGTAAAAATTCCCTTGACCTATGCTAATCAACCCAAAGCGTGGATGAACATAGATATTTTACTTACTTGGTATGAGAATACATTTATTCCTATGGTGAAGAAATATTTTGTTAGTAAATTGAGCCATCTTTTGTTAGTAAATAGCAGTGAAATAGGAATGATGTTAAAGTTTGTAAGGGAATTAATTTAAAAGATTGTTGTTATATGCTGGTAGAAGCGTGGAACGCCGTGGAATACACTGAACACACTGAAACGGCCATGGAATAGATTATTAAAATTAAGTCCTTCTGTTAATACTGCCATGGAACCACAAGAAGATTGTTTTGAAGAAATTACAGAAGCGGTGAAAATTCTTAGCACCGGTGAAGCATGCGATGAAGAAAATATCAAAGAGTGGCTGGATTTCAAATTTTAACTGATGAAGAAATAGTTGACGATTTAAATGGATACGAGAATGAAGTTAGAGAAGAGACTGAAACTGAGGATGAATGTCAAGGACCATCTCACGCAGAAGATTTTGAAGCTCTAGATATAAATTTTAAATGGTTTGAAAGACAGAAGGTTGTGACGGAACACACCACGATATAAACATATATAATAAATATATCACCGTTACTTTAAATAATAAATAAATAAAAAACTAAAAAACACTGAAAAAGGCAAATAAATAATGACAATATTTATGGCTGTAATCATATCGCTTTATTTATTTCTGGAAACAATAGTCTAGAAATGATAGTCTTGCCATCTCTCGGACTAGATGCAAAATTCATTGTATTATCCATATATATTGTACCTAGTAACTTAAATACAGAGCAGCTAGTTTACAAGCTTGATACTAAGCGGCGCTTACTTCACAAAAAAATAAAAAAGAAGAAAGAATAAAATTCACGAACTAATAGATATAATAAAGTTGGTAATTAAATTTATTGATCATTAAATATTTTTAAAAGGTTCCAATAGTTATTGTACATTTCATTGTATTATCTGTATATTGTAGTAGTTCCACATCATAGTAACTTCATATAGATATATATATATAGTGTGGTAACTCAACACTAGATGGCGCTCACTTCACGAACAAATAGATTTAGCTAGTTAACGGAAGTCGTAATTGAATAATATTAATAAAGTCTGTAATGAAAATTATTCATGGCTATATTCTCTTAAAAGGTATTAATAGATTTTGAAAATATACAGTAAGCTAATAACTGAAAATTTAATGCAAAAAGATTAATTAATCCACTGCAAACACCTTTTTTGTTATCAGGCTCAATTGATTAATAAATGCACTAAAAGAGAAAGGAGCAAGGAATAGTCATTGTCTAATCTCCATAAATAATGAATTATTTACCTATTAATGGAATTCGATAAACATTCAATAAAACAATTAGTGCTATTGTTAAAGGAATTTAAATGGTTCCTAAGGTTCTGGTTGCCAGGACATGATTATGGGTGCTAACGAGTTATGATTAAATTGTACATTCTATTAGTGATTTATCGTTTTATTAAAATAATATACTAGAATATCACAATATTTAGTAATGTATTTGACTGTTTGAGGGGATGGGTACCTAAACTAAAGCGAATGAACTCGTTTGATTTATCGTTTTATTAAAATAATATACTAGAATATCACAATATTTAGTAATGTATTTGACTGTTTGAGGGGATGGGTACCTAAACTAAAGCGAATGAACTCGTTGATGTGTGTGTGTAGAAGGTTCTAGAAAGGATAAGGGTATAAAATGAAGAAGGCATGAGATTCTAGACACATTCCGCTCTCAGCTTTCGTTGCGCGCCCCCGTGCGCGTACACGACTCTCTCCTACCCAAACTGTGAGTACTCTCGTGCCGTCTGCACACCCCGAGCGCAGGCCCTGCTGATTTTGTTTTTTTCAAAACACAAACCAACAGGACTTGACTCATTCTCAAGTTCTTGAGTTGGTGGATACCTAACGGTGGCCTAACCAACTGAGCGATCCCGGTGCGCTCGCTAAGGCCCTTCAGGCTTTAGCAACACCGAAGACCCGATCCCAGTGCACTTGGGCCGTGTCCCAAGGGTGAAGGTTTGCCGCTATATCCATTAGGGATAGCCGCACTTTTCCGCGTCGCGTTTTTCCCCCCTCGCTCCGGCGCGGGGTAGGTCTTTTGCACACTCGCCCTATCTCCCTCTAACCTA